GCAACCACAGTGGCGAAGGAATGTCACGATGATTGGGCGCCCGTCGGGGTTGGGTAGGCGCAGGTTGTCCGATGAAGGGGCCTTGGAGCCGACTTCGGGCAGCGGCTGAGTTGTTTTTGCTTCCGGGACCCAGAAAGAACTCAGTTCTTGTCGAAATGTCATTCTGGCCAGAGAGACGGATGGATGTAGGAGGAAAGATCACGCACAGTTGCTTCCTCCTTATATATTGGAGGCGTGTGACAAGTTTTGCCTAATCAGGATTCGTGCTTCTGTTGCCGAAGTTCAACAGTTTGTGAAATTTAACGTCAAAATCTCGGGGAGAAAGAAGTCCTATGATAAAAGTATACATATAGAGAACGCCCGAGTTGTAATCGTGCGAGTACAATGAAACTAGTACAAACCAAGTACAAGTCCTATAGGTGAGGTCCGAGTTATGGAAGAGCGGCAAAGTGTGGTGTAACAAAGCGCGAGTCCCCAAACCGAGTCCAACGATGATGCAGGTCAATCTTGTAAATCTGTCGCTCGCAAGCGGACAGCGAGTATGCGATCCTCCGAGACCATCAAGATATCATCGGAACCAATTCCTGGCTGCAGCTGGTCTGGATGCTGCCCTGGGCTAGTAGTCCCACCGCTGACATTGTCCACTGACCACGGCGTGTTCGCAAACAGTAACCGGATACTCGACCCCGGGATTGTCTGGAAGATGAGCCCCGACTCAACGTGTCGGATCTCCACAAATGAAGGGGAGAATGCGAGAACATATGGCCAATGAAGGACTATCGCGTTATTAGTACGTGCATAAGCCCACTGTCTGACAACAGAAATCGACGTTGAACACATACCGAATCCAGTCGGCTTCCCATCCCATGAGATCATAAACTCGCTTCGCGAGCGCCTTCCCGATTTGTCAATGTAAAATGCGAATTCTATCCACGATACCTCAGCAAGCAGACCGACGTAACGCAAAGAACGAGCCTCACTGTTATAGCAAAGCAGGAACTCAGCATGTATGCGATATATTGCCATAGGGCACGGCAGAACCCGGGGCGAGGTGAAGAACGGCAGCGTCCGTTTAGGCTTCAGGACAAAATTTAGTGACTTGTCGGAGGGATCAAGCAGCCCCTGAGTCTCCAGCGATTCCAGATCGACAACCTCGAAGCCTCTGGAACACGCGACGCACATCCGCGTCTTGAGGTAGTGTATCGATGTCGACTCTACTGGAATGAAAAATTCCTGTCCGTAGCAAAGATCGCCAGCACCCAACAACGAGAATAAAGGGGAAGCGCACCCTAAACGGCTTGAGTGTGGAATATCCTACACCCACAGGCAGCAGCTTCTTGGAAGTGGGATTTACACGGCCCCGCGACGTTTGCTCGATCGGCTCTAAAAGCCGAACAGTTGTGCTCGATTTTGAAGACTTGACAGTTGACACGAGCACACGACCCAGGCAGTATCCGACCTTGAAGAAGGAGGTGTTCACAGAGATCCGAGATGTGCGCTTGACGCCCGCAACGGGGTCCATGGGGTCCAGTGTGTCCAGCAGTAAGGTCAATACCTGGCCCTCTGCGGATGATCGATGATCAATGCACAAGACAATTGAGGAAAGAAAACACACATACCTGATAACACGACGAGGAGCTGATAATCTTCGAGGACATCCACTTGGCTCACGTCAACCAAGGCGAGCACCTTCGTTGGCTCTTTCCCGGTCTCCTTCACATCTGACATGTACACTCCATCGTCCAACCCGTACACAATTTTCCGTTCATTATCTGCGGCGGTCAGCGTCATTAGCATGGAATACTAGTAGAGGGGTATGGTTCACTGTGGTTGAATAGCGCCGCGCAATTTACTTTCTTGGGTGGCGAAAAACACTCGATGAGCGCAACTGCGACGAAAGCCAACATCGTTGACCAGTGTAAAGAGGCTTCCGCCCACACTCGGGCAGAGATTCCCGTGTATCTGCTGGCTGTGCGCTAGCGGCCCGCATTCAGTGGGAAGTCCACGACGAATCAATGATGATGACAGCGTAGGAACGACTTGAACGGCGATCAGTTTCGTTACGCGATGCGGAACAACCGGAAAAAAAGCTCCGACCCATGCCACCAGCACCTCAGCGCTCAGTGATAATTCAAGTCTACGCGAAACCTCGGTGCACTTGGGTCTTGATTTTGTTTGAACTAAATTCGAATGCGAATTGACCCCCCTGGCCTCAGGAAGTTTTCCACCACTGAAGTGACTTTCTCTCTGGGAGACTGGGACAGTCGGACTCTGGGCTCTCGAGTAGCTTTCCCGCACGTTTCCCTTGTTTTCGCTGGGATTACTTAGATGTAGAATTTCCACATGCACGTTGTTCGAGTTCTCAGCCGTTCGACGTTGAAGCTTCTGATTATTTGAATGTCTAGGCTGTGTCTAGTCGTTCCGGCCGCCGCGGCGCGTCCCGGTTGTATTGGTGCCCTTGCGAGATGCAATTGCCGTCGCACGGGTGTGTGGTTTCTCTAGAGTCTCAGCCACCCGTTACATCTAGCCGGGTATCAAACAAGGCACGAACGGCCTAGTTGAACAATCCGCAGCACCGTGAAGTATCATGATGACAAGTACGATGGCCTTGAAACCCCGCGCAGGTTACCCTGATTCCTGGTGAACAGCGGGATCCCTTCCCGATGGTATTTTACCACTTTTTCCCAAGCATGGCAAGAAGATGTACCGTTCTCTCGCAGGCGTCGCCGTCGCAGCGATTCTCTCCGCGCAGACCTTTTCGGAAGTGGATATATCAGCCGTAACACAAAACTTGACCACAGGAGCGCAACAAAAGTACCTCAGCCATTATCGTATCGCTCTTAGACGCTCCCCGCTAAACGTGTTTATATAGCTGGGAGCTCGGGACACGCGCTCACTCGTTACTAGATCTCTATGCCCCCCATTTCTCGGTATTCTCGCCAACGGGGTTGCCGCTCCTCGCGTCAGTCCATCCAACACGACCTCTGGAATCGCGCCAGTGTTTTCTATAGCATACGATGTGGTGTCGGCACCGAAATTGAATTCTAACTGGGGCCCACCACCACTGATGAATGGTAACGGGTGACGGTGCGGCAGGGGACCCGGCTTCCATTGGTGTTGCTGTTCTTTTGGCAAATTGGACAGGACAAGGAGCTGGTATGTTCTTTCTCCCCTGTACACAGTAAACCAAGCATGGCCTCTTACCAGGCGACGGGATGGACTATACCATGGCAGCGCAGAGCCAGCTGGAATATACGCTAAACGTTGTCCCCCGTACCGGCGATGGCGCCATATCGCATCGTGTTGCGCAGGTACAACTATGGTGCATTCGTTCATCTGTCTCACCGCCAGCCTTTCTCATATCATCACAGGAGCGACTCTGTTCATGGTACCGCCATTCCTCACGTACTACGGCGCCCTCACCGAAAACACGGCTCTCTCAAATGAGGCTTACAATCAAATCAAGCTGTACAGAAATTACCTCCGCGATACTGATGCTAACAACCTCTGGAAACATATCGTGCTGGGAACCAATCCGCACGACGTGGGGAATGACGAAAGCCATTGGTCCACGGGTATATTGTTTAGGTTTTCTTATTACGGCGCGTCGCTGAATAACTTCGCTAGGAAACGGATGGGCGGTGGCCGGAATGCTTCGAGTCATTGCCACGATGAAGTACTCTCCCTACGACAAGGGATTTTCGAGTCAGCAACAAGATCTAGCCAACTGGGTGAATGAGATCCACACCGCTCTGTTTGCCAATATCGTGCGCCTACTTCTTGCCTTTCCTCCTAACTGATTCTGACGCGAAATTCCCTTCCTTGAGGATTCGACGAATATATTTACGAACTACGCTGATCAGCCTATCACCAATACGGGCATGTTCTAAGATGCTGCGTCAACTGCCCTAATTGCGAGCACCGTCTATCGTGCGGCACTTCTCATTAACGACACCAGCCATCTCGCCAACGCGGGAAAGTGCCGCCAGGCATTGTTCGCGCTGTCAAATTCAACTCTCGGGAGACGGGATACCGAACTTCCCCGATTGCTCCCCGTCATGGTCCGGACGCTTCTGCCGCTCTAAGCTCAACCGAACCTTTGGCTAGCCGCGACTCACTAACCAAACTTGTGCACTTCACCGACGACGGCTGGTTGACCCCTGCCGTGAATGCTCACCAGTTCGGAATTCAGGGAAATAACAGCGCGGAGGGCGAGGCGTTTGTTCTGGAGCTCCAGGCGGCGTGCAACGAATGGGTTGCGTCGGCCTCCCGCAGTCCTCAAGCTCAAGTGAGCGCGAATAGTGCGAGGAGAACCGTGGCGGGGTGGGCGCTGGTCGCAGGATGCGTTGTAATTGGCTGTACGTCGCTCTACGCGTGAATGTGTTATGCCTTGTCTGATCCTTCAAGTTGGGTGTATGTCTCCTTCATTTCAATCCATTCTTCATGCTGCGCCGCTTTTATTTCATTCGATCGTGATTCCGTTCAATCGTGATTCCGACGTACTACCAGGTCAAGAAAGAATATGCATATCAAGACAATTCCGTCTGATATGGGGTTTCCTTCTACTGTTTCTCTTGCAACGAACGAACCGTCGTCACAGAATAAATTCAACCATAATCGGTGAAATATGTGATAGGTGTAGGATATGTCTTGCGTTGTGCTGACATGGATAATTCTACTCTCAGCACAACTTGATTCGAACTGCCGTCGATTGGAGACACACGGCTTGAATTTGGAAGCCGAAATTTGGCGGGAGTAAATTCTCGTCAGATGGGACCCATCAGTACCCGCAGTTTAACCACCAAGCCGAAATCTGCTGCAAAGCGCAGACTGCAAGTGCAGCCCATTAATGCCGTGTCTGAACACCACGAGCCTGTAAGCGCATAAGAGACCTAGACACAGAGCAGGGGGACCGGGGATGGGAGGCCGAAAGGCAAGTGGCTTGAAGAGGAAAAAGAGCGAGACTGGCACGGCAAACAACAAAAGGAAACAAACACATATGCATTAAGGGGGAATCGAACCCCCGGCGGGTCGAAGCAGATAAACTCCTTCCGATGGCAACGACCCAGGTTACCACTACCCCATTAATGCGATGAGGGAAGCTGAGAATTGTAGCTAGAGAATCGGTGGACATCAAAGGTGATTGGGAAAGGCATACGACTGTTCTTATCTCGTTGTTGAAAGCGTGTAAGCCGATACAAAAGCCATCCAAGTTGAATAATAGATCTACTTAAACAAGGAGTAATGTCAGAGCGTGTTCCGAAGCAAGGTGGCCTCCTCTTCGTCTTTCAAATCTCCGAATCGTTCAAACCGTATCTGCAGTGCATCCGCAAGATTGCTAAGGGCCAGTGCGCGATCTGGGCACAGCGTCAGCGCCTCCCGCTGGAACTCGATCGCGTCATTGATGTCCTCGGACTCTCCCTCCAAGTCTAACTTGAAGCGCGATTGGAGTGCAAGAGCGAGCTCGGCTAGTAGACGACCGCGGAGCGGAGTCGCTGTCACACAATACGATAAGCGCTCGGTCTGGAATACAATAACATCCGTGAGGTCTCGAACGTCCCCTTGGCTCGAAAAACGAGCCTGCAGTGCCGGTATGAGGTTATTGAGAGTGATCAGATGGTCGTCAGGTTGAGAGGCAGTAAGAATAAGTGCCTCTCTGTGAAGATCGATAGCGTCGTGAAGGTCCTTCACATCCGCGGACTGATCGAAGCGTACTTGGAGTGAAAACCCCAGGTGGTTGAGGGTACTTCTACGATCTGGATGTGTGGATGGATAGAGTGCCAGTGCTGCTCTCTGCAGGCTGATAGCCTCCTCTATGTCGTTCATGGTCCCATATTGCTTTGCCCGGGCGGCCAGTGCAACACCGAGGCTATTAAGAGAGAAGGCATGTTTTGGGTCTGGGGGCGCACGAAGCACCATCGCTTCTCTGTGCAGTTTAATGGCTTCGTCGATGTCTCTGGGATCTGAGCGCTTTTCAAAACGCGTGAGGAAGACGTCGCCAAGGCCGTCAAGAGAGGCGGCACGCTCTGCGTGCGGTGAAGGACGAAGCACCACAGCTTCTGTGTAGAGCTCGATGGCTTTATCGAGGTCCCGGAAATTTCCTTGCTCGTCGAAACGAATCAGCAGCGTGTTACCGAGATTCGACAGACTGGAGGCTCGTGCGGGATGTGGTGCGGCACGTAAAGATAGAGCTTCAGTATGCATGGAAATGGCTTCATCGAGCTCGCTGGAGTCTGCGCCTCGCTCCCGAAAGCGCGTCAAGGTAAAGTTTGCGAGATTGTTAAGGGTTTCTGCACGTCTCGGATGCGGCGGGGGACAAAGAGCAAGTCCTTCGATAAGGAGTGCCATGCCATCGTCCAGGTCCTTCGGATTTCCCTGGTTGTCAAACCGCAGTTTCATTGCACCGGCGAGATTGTTGAGGGCCACACTTCGGAGTGGGTCCGACAGAGAGAGAAGTGCTAGGAATTCTTTCTGGAGGTCAAGGACCTCGTCTATGTCCTTCGCATCCCCCCGTGCGTCGAAGCGGGAGTCCACCGCAACAGCAAGATTATTGAGAGAAGAGCCACGTTGTGGATGTGGCGGAGGACGCAGCACCAGCGCCTCCCTGTGAAGACTGATCGCTTCGTCGAGATCATTTGGGTTCCTCTGCTGCTTAAATCTTCTACAAAGCAAGTTGCCAAGATTGTTGAGAGCTGCGCTACGAGCAGGATCTGCGTGTGTGAGACCCTTGAGCATTTTTCTGATATGCTCGACCTCATCGTCAAAGTTCTGCTCGCTGTCTGATGATCCAAATATTCGCTTCTCAAATGCCTAGGTTAGGCAATGCGTCAACCATCGGAAAAAGAATTCAAACAACAAGTTTACAGTTTTGACATGACCGTAACTCAAATTTCTCTACCAAAGACACGTGTGAGTGTGTGCGGGTGAGGAGAGGCGACCACTTACAACGTCGGATTGGAGGGAACTCGAGTTGTTGCCCATGGCTGTTGGTGACAATGAAAAAAAAACGGCAAATGCGGGCGTGTCATCAGCGTGACAAATCCCAATCAATTGCACCGCCACAATGACCTTTCCTCCATGTCGTCACGGTCTCGGGATGACGTTCAATTCCAACCTATTCCAACCAGTTCAAACCTATTTGCTCGTCTGCCGCAATTACAATGCGTACTCAACTATGCTTTGGTCTGAAGAACGAGTCTGTCGCGAATGATGTCTCGCCACCCGGGGTATCCAGCCAGCCAGATTTTTTTTTGGTTCATACTGTGGAGGTAAGCATCGACGATTGAAAGCCGATCAGAAGCGTGGTGCACAACTGGTCGGTTACAACAGGATGTGCGCGGCCAAACTGAGGTGCGTGAAATAGGCATCGCTGATGGGAACAATTGGAACCAAGCTGCCCATCGGAGTCGAACCAGCTGCCCTGAGGGAGTCCAGTGCGGGTAGATGGGTATCCTGCGGCGGACGCGGAAACTTATTAGCTTATGCCTCGCGACTGAGCTTCAACTACTCTTGGTAACTCCTCCGCGATAAAATTACAACATTGTGCGTGTTCTCTTCACCCTCGAAATTCTTATCATTATTGAATCATCTGCGCTTATTTCAGTGGGGCTTGTAATGTCACATCGGCAACATACCAGGAATTCGCTGCCGGGGTAAGTCCACCTGCACCGCGCACCGTTTTCCCACTATGAACGCCCGGTCTCTGGCACTGCCGACTCGGATGGGTGGGTCCCTCGAATATAGTCATTGTGCCTGCAGTCGGTCCCGTGCGATACGGCGCAGGCTCGTGGTGGTTGAGAATAATAGGCCGTCGATGAGACGGACCTTCGTATATGAGAGTGGGAGGGGAAAGTTTCAGAGCGCGGCGGGGTGATGTCAATCCCGGCTGTGAGGGTTGCTCGACGTGGTCTAGTTGTTGCCGACTAGGGACATCGAAAGGAGGGAGCGTGCTGGCCGTGCGCGAGGCCGGCGCCGAGGCGGAGGGAGGGGTGATATTGCGCAAAGAGTGTGCTGCAGCGCGGACAGTTTTCTGGGACATTTCCAGGGTAGACCTGGGGCAGGCGGGCGAAATGGATATCAATCTCTATACCCCACCGGTACCCCCACAACCCCGGTTGTCGGTGCGATGGACCGTTTTCCGCAATCAAGAGCTGTCAAAAGAAAATAGTTTAATGACGTAGTACTGTATGCGGACCGAATCCGCCGAAAATGGATACGAGATCAATTTCGAAAAAGCAGCCTCTGACGCCGGTTTTCAAAGAAACTGAAGGCACAAAGCTTTTCCCAGCATATAATTGTGGGGGGTCCACCTTTTTCATCAAATAAACCGAGCAGAACTAAAGGAGCTAGATGGACGTCGAGTGAGAAGGCTTAAGAAACCGAAAGTGGGGCCGGACCTAACGTTAACGGTTCTCTCCCATCCGCCTGTCAAAGAGAGAACACGTGTTTATGGTCTGACGAGGGAGACTAGGCCGGACCGTTATCCGAGCTAAAGCGCTAAAGCCGAAGGGAGGTTGATATCTCGGATTTTTCGGCCGCCCACCTCTTGGCCTCAAACCAAGAACTCGCCAACGTTCCGGCTTGGCCGGACGATGAGTTGAATGCGGAAATTACGTTTTCGAAGTAGGTCCAGTTGATCTACCTGCCTTCATGCTGTCAGCGCTTTCTTGGCGCCGACGAGCCCCCCTCGCCTTGGCGCCGATCGGACACTGGTGCCCTGACATTCTAGTACGCTCATGCTGGCCCTCCTTTCTTGCTCCGATTCCCGACTTGTGGACTCGCACTAAAATCAAACGTCGACCGTTGAGTCGGTACAAGCTGCCAATTTTTGTTAACACCTATCACAGCTTGAATATCAAGAGGTCGAGTTTGACCCAGATGATGACGATGAAGTTTATTAGTGCTCGCTGTAAGCGGCCATAGTACACTTGTGTTAATTTCTCTTGTTCTAGGGGTTATGCAGTCAAACTATGCTCGCTGATCGAACGGTTTGACCCGGATATGAGATAATGAGGCCATCCGTCTCCGAGATGCTCCAGGACCCATGGATTGTCTCACTTGAGGCGAATTAATTACTTTACTGCCCCCGAGGTAGGTAGGTAGGTAGGTATATTCCGGCGCGGTCCCGTTAAGGAACAACCGGGGCCCGTACTACATACATCGCGTCTTCTAATGTATGCTACGGATACTCGTCATCTTCAGCGACTTGATAACCTGAGCAACCAATTGTCCCCAGGGTCGTATGACATCCAAAGTCGAGTACAAGAAAGAAAGCAAGTATCATTCCATCGCCTGATATAAATACTCGGCAGGTTTGAAGATCTCGCAAGTCGCATATACCGCGAACACTTCAAAAGTGTATTTCGCAAGTCTCTGAGTCAAGTCAAAATCACGACAGTGCACGAGTGCAAGCAGGAGCTCATCGAGTGAGGTCCAGACGCGAGGGAGATCTGGGGTCAGTACATAGACATCTTGCAGAAAATCCCTGCGCAACGCGACAAGATTGAGTTCGGCCATTGTAGGATGGGGATGGGAATATGTCTCGTGTACAGCTAAATGAAAAGATAACACTCAACTTGGTGCGAACTATTCTAGCACTCTAATTTCTGTACATAGGGGCGTTGGTAATTATGAGCGCTGATGGATCCCGCCTGACCTGGCTTAGTCACCCAAGTATCGACCTCGAAATCTGCTAATTGCAAAAGTACAGAATGCAAGTGATATATATAGAGTATATGTATACTAGACGCGACGCTGGCTAAAAGCAAACAACACACTAAAGACACATGAGACAAACGCGCGTAGATATGACAATGAACGAAACAGATGATCAGTAGGTATGTACGTCGTGCAAAGAAAAGAGATAGAAAGGAGAGAGGAGAGAGGAAAGGAGATATAAAAACAGAGCAGCAAGAACAGCCAGCCCAGAAACCGAAGACAGTCGTAAACCCCCCGGGCGCGGAAAGTTCGGGTTACCGCGGCATCGACATCATCGAGGCGTTATCGGACATGAAGCGCTGCGGGCCCGCCGCCGTGCGGAGCGCGAGGACGCGGTCGTCCGAGACCATTAGGATCTCGTCCCGCCCGACGCC